TAGAATAGTGGCCTTCCTACAATCGATAGGCAATGGCAATTGGTATAAGGTGAATGAAGCTGGTTTATTAGAAACAGACAAAAGAGATATAGTGTATGTATGTGTCTCTACATACATTATATCTATAAAAAAGGTCAAACAATAGTTGTAGTTAACATTTTCATTATGCTATCTAATATCAAGAACTCTTTTTTAGTCAGCTGTACACCTTTTTTGTGCTTGTGCTGTTATATATTGGCTCCAAACACTACTCTATTACTGGGAGTGAGGCTGTGGATGTATAAAGATACAGCAACTGAAAATAAAGTAATTCTATGAAAGTTAATCAGTGGTGCATGAAGTCAAAATGGCCTGACTTTCGAGGTCAAAAGTATGCGCATTGGGCCTATAGAGCTTGCATACTTGCGTTTGCTTCAGCCCGCGCCCAAGTCAAAGGAATGAGGAAAAATAACTCTGGATTCGGCTTTTAGCACATTGTACAACTAGAAAAAGTATTTTTGGGCCCAATGATGTCACTGACTTAAAGTTGTGGTACCACCGTTTGGCCACTGCTTCAACACTCGGCGCACTTCCTTCGGGCTTGGGTTGAGGTCGTTATGCCAACCAAGTTATTGAGAAATTTGGGGGCTTATGGTTACTCAAAATTCAGTGCATTATTTAGACCTCACATACTTTGTGTTACTTGCACCATGTTTCAGGAAAAAAGTGCCATCCGTTTCTTTTAATTGTATTGCCAAGTCAGTCAAACAATCAGCAGTAATATCATTCAGTTTGTCGCTGTCTTTCAGCAAGTAACTCATATTAATTGGAAGACAACGGAGACAGTATCGCTGTCAATAATTGTTTTAAAGGAACTTGCTCTAATGGGGAACCACATCTCTTGGGAAATGGACCCACGTTATGAGGACACATGTCATGTTTAATGGATGTGATTTTTCTTTTCAGGTTTAATTAGTGCAATTGTATGGATACATTTTGGAGAACAGGTTATCCTTCTTCAGCAAAACTATGTAATAAGCTGTTGTATTTCAAAGCACCCACTGCACAACCATTAGATCCCTCCGCAGAATAGGATTAGCTCATTGCTCATTTTAGCTTTTACAGCTTCATAAAATCAGAGCAGATTTGTATGGGGTAATAAATGCATTAGGGCAGTGATGTATAACATATTTTAACTAAAGCTATGATGATATCGAGCTTTGTATATGTGCAAGGCATTGCTCTCCTCTGCATTCTTTGCATACATTACTGTACCGCACCAAAACAAACCTTCTCACACACAGCTACACACCATCTGTCACTTCCACTGCTGCTGCAGACTGGTGATAACATGATCACATTATGATGACTGGCATTTCCTTCCTTCTTGGCCTCAAAGTGAAAACTGTAACACGTTAAAGTCCTGCAAATGTAAAGGTCACCTATTATGCAAAAGCCACTTTTTCATGTATTTTATACATCAATATGTGTCCCCTCTGTGCAAAGAGATTCTGAAAGTTTCAGGAAAAAAGTTTCACTCACTTTTTGTCCTGATCCATTTATATAAAAACCTTTCTGAAAATGAGCTGATCAGATTTTGGCCACTTTAGGATGTCATAACNTGGTCTACACTACACGGCCTGGGTACAATGCTCCAATTCAACCACACCTGCAACGTGCATCAGCACAGCTAATGAAAGCCCTGCAGCCTCGCACTCATTCCCTGCCTTGATTGTTGCCTGAAAGGTTTGTTGCCCGTTTTGTTGTATGGCTTCCCAGGAGGAATCCAAGTCTTCCCACACTCCCAAGACCCAGCCCAGGCCTCCTCTACCTTGGGAACAACTGTTTTCCCACTCTGCATAACCCCTCCACTCCAGGCACTGCCTCGGCCTTTTCTAATCAACAAATGTTAGCCCTTCTCACACGCTGAATTCCCGATTTAATCCTTTTACATGTGTTAAAAGTCAAATTCCAATAGTTACCAGCCTCAAACTATCAAAATCCATAATACCACGTGACCACAGTGCGCTCACCTCCCTTACCAGGAATTTTGGAGTTGAACAATTACAGGAATATGTATGTCTTTATGTACAAACACAAACACATTGTAAGAAGGTTATTACCGCAAACATTTTAAGAATGTTTTTAGAGAACGTTCGGGAACCAAAAGAAAACTTCCCGCTGAAAAAATTCCCAGAACAATGAATGTAACATTCTCAGAATGTTTTTAGAACATAAAATGTCTAGCTGGGTAATAGTTAATAACTTTGTATTATTAGTGTAGGACACTTATGTATATATAACATCTGAAGATGTGTAGTTTTATTCATGTTTTCACATAATTTTACAGGATATTGCTATATTATTTCACATGTTTTACTTCTACACATTAATATCTGATTTGTAAAACATCATAGACAGAAAGGTATATCTGACATTTAATGGTAAGCTATTGCAATTCTGAATCCATAGATGTGTCTCCCATCACCCAAAACCCCTGACTATTCTCTCAACTCAGTATTTATATTCTCATATTCAAAGAAAATCAGTAATATCTTTAAAAACTACAAGTCCCTGTCTATAAACTGTGCACCGTTATGGTGTAAATATAGCCTATTTACCAATTGGATCAAATATAAAAATCAGCCAAGTCATTGTTGATACTGCAAGGAGACGTATTGTGTGAAGAGAAATTGGAGATGTTGTTTAATTGCTGATATATTTATGATCCACGTCACATATTCAGTTTCGGTGGCATTTCTTTCAGTTTGTCTAGAAGTCTTCAAATCAGGGCTCTATAAATGAAGAACTACGGCAGATGTGTAATATTTAATTTTAATGCAGCCGAACCGTGTATTACAAAGCCGTTATGTGATGACTTCCAAAGAGAAAAGCAAGTACACTCAGATTAAAGTATTATTTTATTTTTTGTAAATGTTTTTCGCATTTCATATCGCATAAACACCATATCCCAACGTGCATTGCGGCTAAAACATCCACTGACCGAGCTTAAACCATAGCTGAGGATCTTGGGTAATCAGTTCAGTGGGTGTGAATCGCAATAGAGAGGCGAAGTCCCGGCCTTTCCGGTGGACCTTATTTTGGAAAAAGTATGTATTGAAGTCAATGGCGAGAGAAATATTATCTTTCGACCCCGTTTGAATTGTGCCATGAATTACACATATGATGTTTGTCAATTTAAAAGAAAATGTTGCCAGTCAAAATTTAAAAAAATGTCGTAAAATTGTGAAGTAACACTTTTTTTGGTGTGAAACTGCTCAATGAACTACATCTCCCGCCTCGCTCCACACGCCAAAACGTCCGTCACGTTAGCACATTTCACTTATTTCTTTCAGAATGAGGCGAAAAGTATTAAAAGAGGTGAATATCACTACAGGTTTGTGCATGTTGGGAGCTGTATACACAAAAGGGGAGTTAGTCGGTTCCGTAAGAGCCAGCATGCGGGACCGGGATTCTGAGATTATTAGTCTTTCTAGTTGCGTATTTTTCATAGTCTTATATTTCAACAGTTTTACGACAAACTGTGACTTTTTTGTCGTGGAAATCATTTTTTAAGATTGACAAACATGTGTAATTCGTGGCACATTAAAATTGGATCGAAAGATACGTTTTCTCTCTCCATTGACTTCAATACAATTTTTTTCCGAAATAAGGTTATAAAAATAAGGTTAAAAATACAGATTTCATTATTCTGAGGCTCTGAGCCCCATTTATTTTCCTCGCGGACGGCAACAAAACTTCGACATAATACGATTTAAAATAAAAACAATAATCGTGGCTTGATATTGAGTAAGAACAATTTTTTATGAACCTCACAGCTTCCGGTCTTCCAAGACCCGACCGGACAAAAAGACGTGGTGCAGGCACGAAACATACTACTAATAGAAATACATTGCTTGAAAATCGTTCTGTGTGACACAAAAAAAAGGGGGAAATCGTGTTGGTGAACACGAATCAATAGATTAAATGTCGTGACACGGAATGCAGTGAGACCGGGTTGGGTAGAGGCTCTGGTGGAATTACATGTATATTGAGTCTGTGGTAATTTAGGCTTTTTGTACACCTGCTTAAGGCCAGCAAACTATTTATTCTTTTATTATTTGTTAGATACTTTTTTAAATTAAAGTAGAACAATTATTTGCAACACAGTGCCAAATGTGCTTGGTGCTAAAATGCAACCACAATGTTGCTCCACCTACAATGTTACTGTATTTTTACTACTCTGCTTTTGTATTTCTGTTGCAAGAACTCAAATCGGTAGAATAATCCTCCATTATTCCAGAACAGCAATGGTATTGTCCCAGCCCACTTCGTTAATAAGCCTCATAGACATAAATTCCACAAGAGGCAGTAAAGTGTTATGATGTAAATTGATACAGGTTGAAAGACGGGCGCCGCATGGCAGCACGTGTTAATAGCTGCAGTTGACATGCGTTGTAACTTCAGTCAAATCACAACTACACACAATCTAGGTGGTAAATAAAGGAAATGCTCACAGCATTTCAACCCAAACCTTATTAACACACTACAACATTGTACATACAACTTTACCCCCAGCTTTGGGTTAAAACTCCAAAAAAATGTCATCATTAAAAGTGGCAATCATTTATGACTATTGTCAGGTTTAGTCTATAAGGTGTACTTATTTATAGAAAATGTGTAAAGGAAACAGATATTTATTAAAAATAACTCAAATCTAAATCACTTTATTAAATAGAGCTTCATTATTTAGACTCATAATACATATTGGTCAACCCCCCCAAACCAAAGCCATGATAGAGGTTTTAATGATAAACAAACCCCTTTATGGTAATTGACCTCATGTACTGATTACCTACTGAATTTCTCCTTGCTGGTCTGCTGAGCAGACACAAACAACCTCCTTCCCTCAGGTGGAGGTGTCCGCAGATCGCCTGTAGGGGCTGCACCTCAGCCATCTCAGGTGGCCTGGAAACCCCCTGCCCTTGCAACACACACTGAAGGCAACTGTTTTATTTTTGGAATGGCCACGGCACGGTGGCTCGCTCCCTAAGGCTTCAGTTCACTTCAGGATGAGTGGCCCTGTGGCACTCTGAGCCGGGATTAACAAGCAGAGAGCAGTTTGTCCCGACAGCCGCTCGCCAAAGGTAAACCAGTCAAACCCAGTGTCTGTTGATTGCCAAGATGGTGGTACTGCAGTTGAGTTGTCCTGACCAATTAGCCAGGTGCTAACCTGCAAACGGTGCATTGGATTTGATAGAAGCACGTGCACTGTCTGAAATCTTAAACGCATGATGCATTTCAGACATAATATCTGTGAGAGGAAGTGATTGCAAAGCATTGTTTACCATGTTGTATGATTAATAACAGGTAAATCTATGCATGAGACACAGATAAACAAACTCTGCACTTTAATTATAATGGCGTTTCACTTTTAGTTTTAAAGTATTCCATTTTTTTCTGTTGCTCTCTTTTACACCAAACTTCTTTTTTTTGTGCAGCCTGCCCAACAAAACAACACCTATTTCCTTTCCCCTCTAAGGTAAGTGCTGCTCAGATTGATATTGAAGCAATGTGATGGTTACCAAAGAGCTTGATCTCCATTCTGTTTAAAAAAGTTCTTTAAAGCTGGAAAGATAGAGGTCATGGCCAACAGCTATCACCAAGCTAATCTTATACTTTCCCCTTTTGAGCTGCCCCAATAGAAGCCTCCCAGATATCCAACCGGCAGAGCCATAAAAGGGGGACTTCTCATGTGTCAGCTGCCGTCCTTGTCACTGTGACTGGAGGAGTCCCTTTGACAACAGGGATTCATGTTAAACATTTGTCCATACCGAGGCCAAACCCTCTCAGCTTTTGTTTTTCAAGACAGGGACAACAACTCCCAGGAGTTATATCTATGTTGCAACTTCCACACTTTGAATATTTAGAACAGATGTTGTTGCAGAAAATAGCCCATTGGGTAAAACTATCCTTCTTTCAGATCAAACTATTACTAACATTACATAATAGGACAATTTAAGATAATCATCGCTCTGAAACACAAGGATAAGCTCACTGTCGGAGCAGCTCTGAGAGGATTTGGGTTCCGGATAGATTTCCAGCAGACTGAGGCTGTTTGTGTGAGTGCCGGATAGCAGGCAGCAGGTGCTCGGTGTCAGGATGTTTGCTCTTATTTCCCTGGGTCTAAAATAAGAACGTAGACCTTATCTAGTGTTACCCAGAGATAAACTCCAATATTCAGACATAAAGGAAACAATTCAGCTCAGGTTGCCTCTTTAGTAAACCAAGTCAAAGGATGTTAAATGTCAGTCACATTTGAATATTAAATATATTTTGTTTTCATACGTCACTACAAACCTAATATCATCTTTATCTATTTAAATTCTGGATGCAGAGGAATGTGTGTAACATGTATTGTCAGTTTATTATGCTTCTGACCTTTGAACTTCTTATAGTTTGCTTGTAATGCTAATGAGGAATTTGGTCCCAATTTACTGCTGCACACATTTCAAATTTACTTTGGTTATGAAGATTAGCTTAATGCTGCCATCCCTCCTGCCAGCACAAACCGAGTCACCCTCCTGTAACTGTCAATCATCCTCCTTCGAGTTTACTTGTATTTCCTGCAGAGGTCATTTTTAAATCCGACAGTCTCCTTGAGAAACTATTTTCACAAGTAGTTTGTCATCATTTCAAAGAAGCCTGGCCATAAGTTATAGCTTTACATGCCTTTCTATTTCCAATTGTGACGCTCCTTGTAGCCGAGCAACTTCTTCAGGACCCAATTAAGAATCTTAAACCTGCTAATGAGCTGGTTGTCATGAGAGCTCATAGTTTTCTATAGCCAACTGCAGACTTGTCTCTGAGCCATTTGCACAGGATAAATCAGTGCAGTTGGGAAGCAGCTGTATACACTATACTAGGAACAAAGTAGGAGACAATAAGTTTGCCTACACATTAAACAACAAAGGAAGCAAAGAAAGACACCATCCAATAGCTACATTATTGATAAGACAAAAAACATAAATGTGTTTAATTCATATGATTTCAGCTTAGTAAAAGGTCTACTGAATACATAGGAAGTACAAACTGAAAAAAGACTCACTTTTTGCTTCACTACCTGCTGTAAAATGTGTGCCACAAGAAATGTATCATTAGAAAAGGATTTTTCAACTTTAAGCTTGAATAACAGAAAATTATGAAGTGATAGTGGCTACTATTTGTGCAGTATCAATGTTGGTTTTCAGAATCCAAAAAGTCCAGCATGTGTTTCACAGATCTTCATAGAATTGTCCAGCTGAAAAGAGAAAAAATATGTCTTATTAAAAACATGTATATATTTGTTATTCAAACACAAAGAATGACCTTAATCAAATACCTCAGTGATTATTTTTGACAGCTTCTGAGATGTCTGAAGGAAATAGTACTTTCCTATATGACTCTGTATTGGAATAAAACTCAACATTTCCGACTGCTTAGTGATTAAAATATAATTCAATGCAACCGGCAACTCTTTACATTCCTGCTCTGATGTCATAAAAGATAATGCCAAAACAGCAAGGTGATTTGTTACCTTTTCATGAGAAGTTTTGTTGGATCGTTGCTTTAATCTCTAATTTGTATTTTTGGGAAATAATTGACTCATTATACATTTTGAGGACAAATGGTGTTAAAATCACCATTTGTGCTTTTAACAGCAACTTTGATAAAACTGACTTTTACCTGACCGACTTCTTTTGATTAATAATTTGCAGGTTTTGTGCTTTGCTGTAATTCTAGAAGTAGATTTTTGGATAAAAACAAATTGACTGATGTTTCTCATCTGTCTTGCAGGAGTCTGAATAATGCTGATGGATGTCGGCTACAGTAACGGGCTGGAGCCTGACCTTTCCCAGCCATATCCTCCGCCCTTAATGCCAAAACCAGGCAAAGACAACGCAAGGCTTCAAAAACTCAAGAAGAAGAGAGCCAAGAAAAAAAATAGCCTCTCTCAGACACCCATCCCCTTTCGCTCCTGTTTGTCGCCTGTCAACGAAGCAAGCACAGACCTTGAGCACAGTGACCAGTCCAGCCCACCAAGGACACCGGAATCAGTCTACATGGCAGACCCTTCAGTGTCCAGTTTCCCTTTTGACTCCTTCTGTGATCCGTCCGCATCTGCATTCCCTCACCCTCGGAGTAGCCCCTACCAGAAAACTGGCAGCTTCCCCACTCAGTCCTATATAGGTCAGATCAGGACTTCTGAAGAGCAGGTGGCTCCGCTGTATGAATGCTCCTCTTTCTTATTTGATGACATGACTCCTTTCAGTATGCCACCTTCGATTTTACCACCCCAATCACCACCTAAGCAGGTTCCACGAAACCCTCTTGCTTTCAATTCAAACCGGACACCAAATTCCCATTGGTCCGTCACAACAGTCCCTCCAGCCTCTGTGTCGCAATCCAGCCCTAAAATATCAACTCACAGTCTGACCCTATCCCCAGCCGCCCCCAACTGTGACCCAGGCCCCGCTCCTTCTCTGGCTGCAGACCTTCCTCCTCATCCAGCACTGCTATCAGTTTCCAATTCTCAGATACAACCTATTATTTCCAGCCAGAGGGAGACAAGCGCCTGTTCAAAAGACAACCCTCAAAGCCACCTAGCCTCTTGGACTACAAGACCTAGTGGTAATGGCAACTTTGTTCCAAGCCATATGTCTCCGGAGATAACCGCCTCAAAAATATCACTGGTTGATGCAGCGATAGGCACAAAGCCTGACGCCACACAAAACAGGGTTTACACATCCAAGGCAACATTTTATGAGATCTCTAAACCTCCCTCCATGCAGGACCTTACAGTTATAAATCCAAACTACCAGGCAGCATTGTTTTCTGACATACTTAGAAAGAAAACAGATGTGTCAGCGGTGGAAACAGATGAAACACTGAGTGTGCCAATGTCCCAATGTGGAAGATCTAAGACTACTTATTGTGCACCGGCTCGAGTTTCCACACCTTTTATTGAAATATCCAAACCTATCCCACTTTTATTCGCTGCTTTCAACTCCTCCCAAGATCTACAAGCTCCTGCAATTCCAGAAGAAGCTCCGAGACAGAAATCAATGATTCAAGCGAGTGGTACAATTGAACCTCCAGCTGCCATAGAAGAACAGAAGCAGACTGATCACATTGATTACATTAGTAATAGCAGACAAGCCAGCAATTGCAAAGAGATAAATATTCAAAATACACGGAGTACAATAAATCTAAGCTTTGCTAATACTGAGCTGTACCCCAGAGAGAACTTGTCATCAAGTATGACGGCACTTGACCCTGCCATGGTAAAACCAACACTAATACAACCAGTCATCCTTAAGCTACAAACAAACCCCGTTTTTGAAAGTGGAGCTACAACTTTGCCAACGGTCCCATCATTTTTATCCACTGTACCAAACCTCAACCCTACGCCAGTGATTTTAATGCAAGCACCATCCAGTCCAAGCCCCATTATCCCTTATCATCCTCCTGCGGTCAATGCTCGCAAGTCTTTGTCATCACTTTTGGAGAGTCAAATGTCATTAGCAACCTCAAAGCCCAAATCAAGATCAACATATTACGGGCTTACTCCAACTCAGTATGCGGCCTATGGTGGGATAAAGTCTGCCGCATCACATTACAGCCCTGCACCCCTCCGTGCAAATGAAACCTCTTCAGACAAAACACAGTCAGCTGTAGCTGTGGATGGAACAGACCTCTCAAAGCCTGATTCAACAAAACAACTAAATGGATATCAAGATCAACCATCTTCAATGGAGGTTTCTACCGCTAACATTTTAAAACCCATAAGGGATTCTGAGATTCCAGCTGATCGGACCATACTAAGTAGAAATGATGTCTTTGAGATCGGGTCGGAAGCTCAAAGTATTGGAATACAATCACTTAAAACATCTAAGGTGGACACAATAAAACCAGAGCTTCCTCTTGGCTTGGCACAGCAATCAATGCAACAATCCACAAGTGACTTATCCACACCAAAAGCCTCATTCTCTGAGGCTCCAATACCAATGCCTAAAGCAGGTGAGGTACACACACAAAATACGGCACTATTTTCTATAAAGGCAGAGATAAATACTAATCCATGCTTTACTGATAGCAGTAGTCTATCAAGTTTTTCCTCACCCTTAGTGAAAGTAGATTCAAATGCAGAAACATATCATGGTTCAAAGGGGATAGATGCCATAGAGAAAGGTGTTTATCTCGAGAAAATACCTACAAAAGTAGAATCCAAGATCACCAATTACAAACAAACAGAACAAGTACAGATAGCTTCGGTGAAGTCTTACCAGACTGCTAATGGAGTCAGTTCATCAACAGCAAATGGTCTGAATGTTCAACAAACTGACAAGCCTGTTAAAAACCAAGCTGACCGTGAAAAAAGAATTCAGTCTCTTGCCACAGATTTAGAGCCCAAAAACACAGGAAAGGCCATCATAAATGGTACATTTATCACAGGATTACAACAAGCCACCAATCTGATTTCAGGAACACCACTGCCCAGTAGAGGAGCTCCTGAAACTGTTTTACATACACACAAAGAAGAAGTTAATCAGTGTTTCAAAGCAAGCAGTGGAGTTCCCTTACCCAATAAGGCTTCCACTGCAGAACTTACCCATGACAAAACAAATAAGGGGTCCAATTTCTCAAATATATTCTCCAAAGAATCAAGTACCACTACCACAGGACCCATTTTTCCTCATGAACCTGTTATATCATCTGTATGTTCCTCACAGTATAGTATCTGCACAGCATCTGCAGCTGTCCAAAGCACAAAAATCAATCAACAACTCAGCACTAAAGTTAAAATTAACAGAAAAAGTCAAGTGGAAGGCAACAAGATACATTTGCCTGAAGGTCTCTTAACATTTTCTCAAGCACCAAGTGCACCTAATACACCTGCTGTAAATGATATCTTAATGGGCAAACCTACAAGAGCAACCACACTACCTGACTTTTCTGTCACCGCAACCAAATCACCCAATATGTCAGAAATGACCTTGAATGTGCCCACAAAAGAGCCCCCAAAGCTAACCAAAACTGTTAAGAATGTACATCCAACCCCACAGAGTAGCAATGTATCCAATGGCAACCATAACGTTGTTCAAGAAGCAGGTTACTACACAAACTCAAGCAGAGCCATAGTAAAGACCACACAAGCAATTGAGACAAGTGTAAGCATCCCTGCTAAAGTTGCAATACTATCAAGCCAAGTCAATACAGAGCCTAAACTCCCCAACTCTAATAGTTCTGAAACTAACTCAATATTTGATAAATATTTTGAATCCCTATCCACTAATGCTATAGTAGACTCATTGACAAGAAAAACACCAACAGATTGTATTCCCAGTCTACCTTTACGAGCAGAAAGCATTCAAACACAATGGGGTATTGAAATAAGACCAGGTTCTAATTTTTTAAAAGGAAACACAACACCACACATGCCCAGCAGGGAAACCAAACCGTCCAACAAACCATCTTCCAAACCGTCTTCAAAATCGTCCAACAAAATGTCCAGTAAACAGTCTGCAGAATTACCAACTTTCAGCAAGACTTTCACGGTCTCAGCTGGACAGCCAGAAAATGTGTATGCTATTCAACACAGTAGATCTGTTGCAGAAAAGTTACAGTCAGACAAATACTTTTGTGACAGCAATGTCAGCAATATTCTTGCAATTGAAACAAGTCTTAGAACCCCTGCAAAAGGTGCAATACTGTCAAACCAAGTTAATATAGAACCTAAACTCCCCACATTTAATAGTTTTGAAACTAACATAGTTGGCAACACACAATTAGAAACAGAATTGCAATCACTATTCACCAATGATAAAGTTGACTTAATGACAGGAAAAGCACCAATAGAGTCTGTTCTCAGTATACCTATTAGAGGAGAAAGCATTCAAAGACCTGGCATTGAAACAACACCCGCTTCTAATCTTTTAAAAGAAAATACAGTGCTGCACATACCTAGCAGTGAAACCAAACAGTCCAACAAACCATCTGCTGGATTACCAACAGTCAGTAAGACTTTCACAGACTCAGATGGACAACCAGGAAATGTAGAGAGTATTCAACCCACTAGTCCTGCTGCTGAACTGTTAGAGTCATACATATCCTCTGGGGGCAGCAATATCCACAGTATTGTTTCCACTGAAACCAAAGTCGCTGACACGCTTCATAGTGTGCCTATTGAAGACCGAGCAGTGATTAATAAACCATCTTTCAGTTCTGTGCAGGCCAGTAAAACTATAATGCCGTCTAGCCCTACAATGAGGCATATCAGACAAAGAAGCCCTCAGCTGAGATCAGACGGGACTGAGATTCGACAGCAAGCCATACATGCAAATCCTGCTCATGGCTATGTTGCTCAAACAAAAAATTACACAAATGTAAAAGGAGATAGTAAACACACTGCCAACATTATTACTGAACATGGATCCTATGAGACTTCTGCAGATCAATGTCTTGCTAAAAACACTGTAAAAGAACCAACCCCTCGCACCAAGCCAATACAAGTCAATAGATCTATTACAAGTCCACCTATAAGGACAACACATTCTGTAACATCTAAGACTGGGACAAGTGCTTTCTCCTCTTCTGGTTACATCATGGCTAACATGTCTAGTATCAGTGTAGAACAGCAAATCGCGTTGTCTCAGAATACTTTTCAAACCACTATAAATTCTGTGAGCTCTCAGACTGGAGTGAAACAGTTGAGGCAATCAGTCTCTGAAACAAAGACATCTGTAGAAAATAAGATTCACACTGAAAACACTCAAATCGTCTCAAACATTAATTCAACTAACCATGCTGTCGCAAATATTCAAACCCTTGCCAAAGCCAACAGTGATGCTAAAGACACACTAATCGCTCCTAAAGTAACTAAACCTTGGGCCTCTCCTCTACCTGAGCCAAAATGGCGTACTACACAGATTCGGACCTATACTCCAACCTTGCCCCCGTCTTCTCCAACTCCGGTTTCTTTAAAGCATAAAAATGAAAATAAACCTTTGCGCGTCACTGCGAAAATTCAGACAAAACCTCGCTATACATCTCTTCAAAATAATACACCTACTAACATTGTTGAGCCATCTGCAAAATCATTAACAGATAATATCAGAAAACCAGACAGAAAATCACCCCCAACTAAGGACTCTTCAGTCATGAATCACAATGCTGATGTTAATGTAGATTCACAATTGAAACTGATAAAAACAAAGGTAGAAACTAATTCTAGTAAGGAAGAAACAATCTCCTCACTGAACAGTTTTTCTAGCACTCCAATACAATCTACTGTTCATGTTTCAAACAAACCGACTCTAAAAACACAGTCTCATAATCCACACATAGAATCAAGACCTTCCTCTGTCCCTGTAGAAACAAAATTATCAGATGCAAATTCGGATACTTTAAAGTCTACCCCCAATCAGTGCCAGATTAGCATGCACAACAGAAATGTTCAGCCTTCAACAGAGCTACCACTAGAGAACATTTCCCCTGCAAAGCCAGCAACAGATACTGTCATGAAACCATCCATAGTTAAAGCCGCTGTGATTGACTCTACCACTCCCGCCCCTCTGCCTCAGGCCTCAGTCTCAGTCAAAGCTCCATCCCCAAACAGAGGAATGTCACCGCCATCTCCGCAAAAAACTGGACTCAAAGAGAAGGAAGTTCTGAGGACCAAAGCTTCAGCTGCGCCGACGGAAGCCCTGGCAGACAACCCCTCCACGAAGTCAGCGACATCAACTGCATCTTCAACTGATGACAAGAAGGATGTGACAGCATCAGCTCAGCCCAAAGCACCCCAGAAGCTAAAAGGCCTAAAGGGGAAGCTAAGTGGATGGACACGGCTCAAGAAACACATGGTCGTGGAGCCAGAAGAACCTACGTTTCCAATGCTGGAGATCAAATCACAGGTTGATTCCACTGCCAGCAATGAGATAACAGATCAGGGTGGTGATAAGTTGTCCCCAGACCAATGTGCTCATCGAGAAGTGATTAGCGACAAAGAAGGTCCCAAGGCATTAAAGATGTGGGATGCCCTGCTCTTTCAGATGTTCTCAACAAAAGAAAGAATCATTCAACAGCTCAACACCACCAAGAAAGATTCAGAGAAGAAAAAGGAACCTAAAGACAATCAAGCAGAAGTTCCTTCTTTTGTCAACCGCCTTCCGATTTTGTTGTACAGCCCCCGTTTTGATGCTAGGAAGCTTAAAGAGGCGGCAGAGAAGCCACTCTCGAAAATAGCAGCAGTGTTTGAAAAGGGACTGATCAAACGCAAATCTCAGGAAGATGAACGAAAGGACTTTAACAGGAAAGCGAGAGGATTTGGTTCAACAAACTCTACAGATATATAACTTGATGTGTTGCAAAAGTATCTTTTGGAATGGCAATGATTAGTAGTGTGTGGCAAGAGAATAAAAACAGAAGTGGATTTAGTTCATTTAATAATTATAAATAAGGGCTGAAGTGAGGAGTTTGATTATTTAAGAGGGGCAACAAAGTATGATTTATTTATTAGAACCTATAAGTTGTAGCTGTATGTGTACAAGTAAAGATGTATGATATATTATAACTCTAAAAAGTAACAGATAAAAACACAGCGGTGGTATAGGTGGGGAATCATTGCACTTAAAAGTAGTAAATATGACAATAAAGAAACAAGATAGACGATGAAAGCAAGGAATATTATGTGTACGCTGCAACTTTACTTGGTTGGATTGTTTCTTTTTTCATTTGATGATAGTGTAATTGTGGAGTTGAATGCATGATGTGTAGATACATTGATTGATAATAGATTGTTTCATTTTGTAACGCTTCCTTTTTCTATTTTTTCTAAAGAAAGTAAAGCTTTCATTGTACTCCGCTGGTAGGCAGTCTTTAATATCTGTAATAAATAGGACTTTTACATTCCTGGAACAACAGGGCAGTTGGATTTGAAAGAAAGAAAAAAGGCTTGAAGATATAAACAGAACAGAAGAAGGTTTCTGCAAGGTATGGATGGAAATTAATCGGCGGATGTTCAGGCTTCCGACCAGAGCAGGAAACTACAACCACACAGGCTGGTACAAAAGAAAAAAGGATCCCACAGGAGGTCAAAGTTTAAATTTGGTTTATGAGGAAATACTTTCAAAACAAATTCTCATTAGCCTTGTTTATGTTACAGTAAGTGCTAATTAGCAAATGTTAGCATGCTAATGCTGTAAACGTAACGTAATGGGCAATGTAATGTACATTTCCCAGCCATAGCATATCCAAAGGGATACAGAGTCTGAATTCTGTTTTATAATTAAAAGTACCGTTTTCTATCGTTTTGTAAGTTGGAGATCCATTGTGACCTCGTAACCTCAATGAAATAGAGATAAACTAATTGACCCTGTTGTGGTTTGTAATTTCCTGCCTTGTGATGGATTGTCCAAGACTTGTGAAAAATGTTACTGAATTTAGATTGTTTCTAGGATGTAGAAGTGGATACCAATGAATGATGAACATGATGATGACAATGATGATGCTGAGTCCTGCTGTAGGAAGACAGACTAACTAAATATTGAGGGATAGCTAGAGAATAAGTACAGATATTAGAAGATGAGTGGAGCACTCATTTTGAGGATTTGGTGCTGCCATAGCAAGCATTTGCATGTTAGTTTTGAACCTTTTAGTCTCTATATTTCGATTTTAAAAAATTGCTGTTTTCCCAAAGATGATCATCCATATGTGGAATTTCGTGTGAGGTGGACTTCATAAAGCTACCCAAAGCCCCATTTATTACTCGAATGCTCAAGCCATAACATGTTTTATATTAACTTTGTGATCAAAGGTGCATAAAGTTAAATGTGAAACTTTTGTCTTGTATTTCCCCTTTCTTTAACACATTATATTTGATTGCTTTTACTTATGGATTGTCAGACAAAGAAACAAAGTACCAAATAATAAGAACTAAATTCAACTGTAGCTTTAAAAGGAGACACAGACATCACTGCTGAAAAGTAAATTGTTAAAGTATAATGTCTGTGGTTCTTTATATTTGTGTTATTGTCAACTACTTCCATGAAGGGACCAGAGCCAACGGTGTTAGTACTCTCTGACTTCCCAGTGTTATATATGGAATTAAGTCTTAAGCCGCCCCGCCCCTGACAATGTAAACCTATAGTGATGACTCACAGACATACTCTTTGGTTTTTTAAAAGGTCAAACAATTTCCATAACTTTTGTTTTTGTTCTAAACATTACATTACATTACATTGCATTTAGCTGACGCTTTTATCCAAAAGCGACTTACAATAAGTACATTCGACCAGGAAGATACAACCTTGATTGTGAGTGTGTGTAGGTTGTGAGTGTGTGTAGGCCACAGGTTTGAACTCAAACAGTGGGAGATAGTACATTTGTGGAGGACTATTTTAAGCCGCAGGTTAATCCACGTTTGCTGCAGTAGTAGAAACCATCAACAGGCGGTTTGTGATCCCTAGGGATCTCTAGGGATCACAAATGGTCATGGACCCATGAAACCTTGAGCTCTTAAGCTAGCAACAGACAGTATGCACCACACAAAGGTATGTCTATGCATGGCACTCAAGGCCACAAAATGTCATTGTCGGCCAGTTTATTATGCAGCTCAACTGTACATATTTAGTGGGGGTTCCTGCTATGTATTTATTTCAGCTAAGGTTGCCTTTGGCTGAAACGCAGGGTGAAACCCCTGTTTTACTAATTGTTTGTATATGGGATTGAGTGAGTATTCATGGTAATGAAGGAACATGTTTTTCAGTAAAATAGTTAAGCTCATTGATTTGTTTTGGGTCAGTATATATCATACTTTGAGACAATAACAATACTTGTTGGTACATCTTTCTTTTTGGGTGTTGGTCTTTTCATGGGATGTTCTGACTATAACAAAATACAGAATATATTGAGACTTGACATGTTTTTGGAGGACAGTTTGTAAAATATAATCTTTTGAATTAGTTAATGTTTCATTTAAATTCCTTTTTTTGGTAAGAAACATTGTTTAGGCCAATTTAATGTTAGTGTCTATACTTGACTATTCTTTATAAAAATAACATTTATCTTCAAGCTAGTTTTGCCTGTTAAATTAAACAATAAGTCTCTAAATATGAGGCACATTTTGACTATTAATTGTATGAAAGATGAAAAAATGGATTAATAAATGAAGTCCTTAATAAATATAATAATAACAACAACAAAGTTACTAGCATAGTAACAATCCAACGTAAATGGATGTAGTCTTACCTGACTGGCAGTTTGCATCTTCACTGTTGCTGTCCACAGGAACCTTCTCATACTTGCCGTGACCCATCACCACAAACTTAGACCTTTTCCCAGTTGAACTTTCCTGGAATTCAGTTATTACATCAGTTATCAAAACAGATTCATAGACATTATTCAACAACTTTAGTGTGGCCTTATTCATCTGAAACTTTTAACATCCAACAATATGTGACAGTTTATGACCTAATTGCAGGTATAATAATAACACATGTTATTTTTATAGCGCTTTTCCTGGTGCTCAAAACACTTTACAAGCAAGTAAAGAAGGAAAATAACAACAAAAGTATAAAGTGCTAAGCTAGGTGGAATAGGGGCAAGGGGTAAGTGGATTAGCAGTTGAAGGCAAGAGTGAAAAGGTGAGTTTTGAGTGATGTTTTGAGTCATACATTGGTATGAGTTGTAAGCACAGACTTTATATAAAAGGTTGTGAGCATTCAAACCAAATAGTGTATTTCTGGTCTAAACAAGTCATGCCAGTGTTTACAATATACAGTAATTATACATTTTAGAGAAGAAAACAATTATTTAAAAAATAACCCATTCGAATAACAACAGGACTATGAAGGGAGCTTATTCACAACTTGGAGCTCTAGACCCCCGTGGAGTATTAAAACTAATGTGAGGGGTCTCAAGATAACAACAGCTACATTTGACTTTTCTGTTAAAAAACACAGACCATCTGTTTTATTGTAACAGGGCCCTAACAATTCTAAAGATACAATCAAATGGGAACTCTTCTTTGGTGGAACTGATCATAATATATTTCCACGCTCAGCCATAGGCAGTGACAGCAGAGTCACAAATAGACATTATCTCATTGTAAAGGATCGAGAGCCAAAAGGTTGGGAAATACTGCAGTAGGAGGTCCCGGTCCCCAGGCATGGAACTACACTTATACAACCAATTTCTTTGTCCACATCTGGTTTTGAATGAGGCTATAAAACCCTCAATGTTTTCAACTGTCTCCTTACAGTGTAATGGTAAAGAAAGCAGAGTTATGAGAGTATGAGATTTTAACAAACTATCCTCGGTCAGCTCTGAACATTAAATTGTGCATTAGAAAAACAATGCTATTCAATTAATTTAAAGCTTATTAGATTCAGGTGAACTCTATCCTTTAATTCTTATGTTTTAAAACAACACCGTGTTTCATGTACTGCAAATATAGCAACATACAGTACACAGTTTGTCATCTCTGCAGCCACAAGGGGGCAGACTCTCAATGACTGCTCTGTTCAGCTGAGTTGAAATGATTTACACCAGATGAAAAAAGATGGGTGTGGTTGCATAGTGGGGAGGAATTCTTGTTGAATACTGTCATAAAACAACATGTATATGAAAGTTAAGGAAGGGGGAGATTACATTTGATAGAAATAAACAGTTGTTCCAAAGCTCATGTCACAGAACTGAAAAAGGATCAGTTCATGGGTGAAAAGCTTTGTGAATCGTGTCAGACATGATACAAAAAAGCAAGACAGTGAAGCAAAGACAAGTATCAAACAATCATGTTCATTGAGGATCAAATTCAGACTTACTCCTTGTCTAAAAGGTGAGCTGCACCTGCTCCCATCTTCACCTTCTTTCACCCACTGATTAATGAGATTGGCCACGCCCACTTTTAAACCATCTGCATCCTGAGAAAGAAAAGAGGAAATATTATAATATTTGTAATTCTGTATGTTTCAAGTTCACCTACATACATTTACCATATATGTTTATATTAAATCAAATTCTAGACCTTTCCTGGACAAAATATCATATTCTTTCTGATGTAAGACTTCATGTGTCATAAATAGTTCAAATTCATTAATGTTTAAACTGGAAGCTATTTAACAATGTTAAAGGGGCCCTAATGTAGTTCATATTAGTATTTAGTGCCTCTTCTGTGACATGTCTTCATCCTTTAATGTTCAAAAAGCTCTTTATTGTTCTCATACTGCCTGTGCTGCAGCACCTCTTTTCACCCTCTGTCTGAAACCAGAGCCCAGTCTGCTCTGATTGGTTAGCTGGTCGGCTGTGTTGTGATTGGTCAAGAGCTCAGAGATGTCCCGACCCTTAGCCTATCACGTACAATGTGTTGGAGTGGTAGCCAATAGAAGCACGTCAAACGGCAGCATTTCAGGCAAGGGGGGAGTGTGTGGGAGAGAAACTCCCTCTGGAGGGAACTTTGGCATTCAAGCCTTTGCAGACCATTTACATGCACTAAAACCTAAGGGAAAACCCAGAGAAGCATTAAAGGGCTTATTTAGAATAAAATATTGCACATAAAAGATTTATGGTCATGGAGACAATGATAAGCCTCTGCCTGTTTTTTCATTTGGATTTGTAATACAACACGACATTAACAAACAGGAAAATTAAACTTCAGAACAATTCGTCAAAAAACCTGAGTGAAAGGATGAGCAGTTATTTATCAGTTTAACTGTAAAAAGGTAAATTAGGATAAAGAAAGAAACGTCATCATTTACCTTAGATGGTGTGACTGAGGTGGCGTTTTGCTTCCAGGCTTCCCCGGCCTCAAACAGGTTCTTCTTGGACGAGACGGCTTCAGTGGGACTCGTCAGGTCCGTCAGCACCTGGCTGCCGGACCTGCCTTCCTTAGAGGCGACCTGTGAATGAGATCCGGTTTGAGAGTTTAACATAATGAGACACAGAAATTGGGGATCTTCCATATTGTAGTTCAACAATACATGCTGGTTCTTCACACAGATGATTTATTCAGAATTTGATCTCATGTCTGAATATTATGGTTTCTCTTAGAGTCAAACAAAGATGCATTATCCTAAACTGTGATAGTACTGGCAGTTTTTGGAAGTACTGCAAGGGTTCTCAAAAAAGTCAATAAAATAAAAAAGAACCATTGAAAAGAGTCACTCAGTGGGGTTTCACCTCGAGAGCATGAGTGTACAGCTCCAGTTTCTTGTCAATCTTTGAAACAGCAACAGGTGACAGCGTCTTCTTTATGCTGCCGGTGCTTTAGGAGAATGGATACGTGTTAAGAGTGAAAGTATATAACTGTGAGAAATCTGATGATGTAAAAGTATATTCTTTTATATAATTAATAATGTAAAACAAGATAAGCAGCAGGGTGTTTGATAAGCAGATCAGAGTAGACTTTCTTCTCAACTTCTGCACTTCATATTTTGTACCTGGAACTTTTTTTTTATTCCTAGATTTATTCTTATAACATTTCCATAAGATGGTGCAGCACTGGAAACAACATTCTTTTAAATCTACTTCACAAGACATTTTCACACACTTACCTTTTCCTCAGTGATTCAGTTCTCTCTATGATCTAAGGAAAGAGACAATGAAAGGTTAAAACTCACGGGAATTATTACACATGTATGGGATTTGACCTTCAGTAGCAGACTTTTTATTTATGCACCTATAAACCGGCACAAAGTTGTTATTTCATTTTTTCTCCCAGATCAAGACAGAAACGTATGTTCCTAGATTGAGGGTGAGTGTGTGGAAACCCCCCAGCTAACTTGGTAATCCTATATTTAACAGCATTTATCAAAACAAATAGCTTAACATGGTTAAACCCGGGTTAAAACATTTCTAAAATGAGCCAAGAAAATCTGGCAGTTTAAATAATACAAAAGATAGACCAACCAATTGATCAACAACAAAAAGAAAAATAATAATGACAACAATAATAAAAACAACACATTTTGAATAGAATAGTGTGCTATTTTTAAGATTTCTTTGAATTGACATTTCTTATCCCATTACAGCTTCTGACCTTGACCCTTTACACTGGTCTGCTGCAGCACTCACCTTACATTTACTGTCGGGGGGGACTCTGCTGTTTGCTTCATCCTGTTAAGAGACACAGATTAGAGCAGGCCCGGCAGCTCTCAAAAGTCATTTGAATGACTATAAGTACAGAAGAACTCTGACATGCAGCACGTTTGTGAGCAAAACGTTTGTACATTTAAATCAGTGCAAATCAGTCAGCTGACACATGCACAGCACTTACTGGGTAAAACTGAATGAGGAGTTTCTGGTGGAAGAACAGCGGGGAGCATGAAAGAGAAAAAAACATGTTGGCATGGTTAACATGGAAGCATAGGACTGGGTGATGTTTACAAAATCCCATACCGGGATATTTCAAGCAAAAAAAGCCTTAAAAGACCAAATCATTTTGTGCAACAATTGTAAGACAGAGACCGACAATCATCTCTAGCGCAGCTACTTTCACTAACCAAATCAATAGATGCTGGCATTCATTCCAATGCTTTTTGAATTTAGAAAATCATACTGCACACACCCTCTTTGGATTGATGACATACCTTGAACGTGGGGCTCATCGGACCGTAGTTTAACGGCTCCTCGCCTTCGCTACTGCTGCAAAGAGAGGCTGCAGATCCTCTGTTCAGCTCCTCAATCCTCCCGCTCTCCATTGACCTCTAGAACAACACCACCATACAAATATCAACCAATATGTCTATTGTTTGAATACAGTAGACTATCAAAAGTCAGTATTAGCAGTATTATACAGTCTTATCGGGTTAAAGAGTATAATCTGGAGCACAGTTTTCCTTAATGCCTGTTCTTTCTCTGGATAAAGCCTTTCAAAATGTGTGTTCGCACTGCTCCCCTATAGCGTGTTATGTGGTGGCAGAAGACTAATAAAACACCGTCAAACCAGTGGTGCTAAAAGTAGGAATTTGTTACAACATCTTACATCATTGCTGCTTTCAGGCATTTCCTCACCCAGTGAGCCAAAGATACATTCTTTTACTTTATTACTTTCAGATTTAAAGCCAAATTCAATGAACTACGAGTTTTAAAAAAAAGAAGCATGCATGTGTTTGATTTAATGTTTCATGAAACGTTGGGAAAAACCAGACATGCTTGGTTTTATGTCAGCAAACTATTGCTTATTAGCATCAAGTATTTTATATAATAATAAGAGTAACACTCTACACAATGCGAAGGAGTTGGACATTACTAGCAATAAACATTTTATAGATCCGGTCATGAAGGTAAAAAAAGTTGATCCTGATGGAAGCACAGTTTTATATTAAAAAATACACTAATAATGATGGATATAAACATGAACAAAAATAAGCTTTGCACATGTTTTTGGATTCAACATGTGTGTTTTGATGGGTATCACTGAATAAGAAAACTTGACAGGTTACCCTTCATTATAAAAAGAAAAGGTTTGCTTGGGAGTCTGAATTTGCTCAACTATCTCGTTTATAGATTGATAATTATAATTATTATTAGGATAAATGTAAAACATGCTGATTACATTTAAAAAGGGTTAGTTCCTCTTCTGGGCATGCATTTTTCCGAAAACTTCATGAAGATTTCACCATTAGATTTGGTTGTTTCTGTTGTAAAACAAAAACATTAAGATTCATGCTCTGGGGAACATGACAAAACAAATGTCTCTCAATTCATCAGGACATGAGATTACGACATGACAAAAAGTCAGGGAATCTCCAAAATAATCAGTTTATAGTAAACAAAATATGGAATTTGATAAATTCCTCCAGGAACCATTCACATTTTCACAATCTTGTACTAGAAACATATTTTGTGGATGACTTAAAAGAAGGGCAACAGAAAGATAGACCGACCCGATAAAGGCAAGTATTACAGAAGAGCTGATGATAGTAGGAATAGCAACAGTGTTAATGGAAAGTCAACCTTGTCTCGAAGCTTGTACTCTTCCTCCGCCTCCCTGCGTCTATGCTCCCGGCTGTGGCGGAGGTCTTCCTCCTCTTCCTCCTCCTCCCTGGGTCCCTCCTCCCAGCTGTGGTGGAGGTCTTCCTTCTCTTCGTGTGTGAATCTCAGCTCTTCTTCCTCCTGGTCATCGTCATCTCTGGGGTTTTGTCTGGTTTCAGCTGATCTCTGCTCCATCTGCAGAGCAGCCAGTGCCTCTTCCTTTTGCTCCTCCTGCTCCAGCTCTCCATCCACCCTGCAGGCCCCTCCGCTGGGTTGGAGATCATTTTAACAGTTTATAAAGAAATGTGAATGTTTGGATCCCAGGATAAAAACAAAACAAATACTGACTAAAGGGAAAAGACAGATAGAACCAGGCAAAGAGCGGAGAATTCACCGTGGCTTCATCGTCCCGGCCGCCAGGTAGGACGTCCTGTCTGCTGGTTGGCCCGTGGCGTGCTGCGATCTGTTATCCTGTGGCAGGAACACCGTGGAGCTGTACGACGTCCTGACTTCCTTTCTGTAGCTGGACATCTACAATTATAACCAAGCAGGTTGCATGTTAATCTATAGTGACAATACTGTATGTATTTGAGGAAATATTTATAAGAATTTGAAGCTTGATATTGCAAGCCAGTTTCAGAGAAGTATAGACACACATTTTTTAGTAATGCCGTTAATTAATTACGATTCAAATTCACAAGTTATTTTCTGAATTATTTAGTATTTTGTATATAGTAAAGCACCAACTTTGATCAAATTTCCATGAGGCGTTTATTGCGTTATTTGCAGCTGTTTAGAGTTATACTCATTAAAATACTAAAATGCTCACAAAGGCAATGCCACAATGTAGGTGAATTATTGCAGGTATAACTGTTTTTAGTATATTAGTGAGGCATGTGGCAACTTAATGTTATGGCCAATATTTGCCCTGATCAGTTGATCACCAAAGCTACTACAATTCATCAAGAAGGGTAAATATATCTCTTACCAAAATTTCAAACCAAATGCAGAAAAATGAATATATAAAACTGAAGGCTTGACAGATTGCAATTTTTTATACAAATAAACATCATGCCAGGAAGAGATTGTTACTCATTTCTAATAAAAAGGGAATACAATTGATGCTGTAGGAATGAGCCTAATGTCAGAAACATTGTGAACATTAATCCAACCTATCCTACTATATTTCATTTTCATTTCATTTTTTTATTTTGTCTTATATATAAATGCTGCATTGTTGGAGGAGCTTTGGACTTAAGATGTTCATAGCCATAACTACACTGTAGCTACTGTGCATATGACAATAAACCTGGGATCCTTGAATCCTTGAACAATACATACTCATTGGTAAAGAAAGCCCCAGTATTACGGTGTGGATCGGCCGGTGTACCTTCTCTGGAAGTCTTGCTGAAGTTTCCTTTGACCTACTGCTGTGTCCTGGCTCACATCCCTCCTTCTCTTCGATGCCCTGCTGTTTCTCCTCTCCAGTCTCATGTTGTTTCTCCTCTCCAGTCTGATGTTGTTTCTCTTCTCCAGTCTCATGTTGTTTCTCCTCTCCAGTCTCATGTTGTTTCTCCTCTCCAGTCTGATGCTGTTTCTCCTCTCCAGTCTCATGTTGTTTCTCCTCTCCAGTCTCTGGTTTCCTCTGTTGTGTTGAAGGTCTCTGCACTCGGGCTCTGCAGTCATCCTGCACCTCCTGCTCAGGACGATTCTCCAACCTGTGACTCCAGTCGCTGAAGCCCTCGTCCTCCTCCAGAACCAGGCAGCATCTGGGCTTCAGCTCCCCGTCCAGCCTGAGAACAATTGAAAAACTGTTACCTTTGAGTAGCCTGGCAAGAGGTGGGGTCAAGATTTGGTTGGATTTTGAAAACATTTAAAGTAATACAACCATATCAATGGTTCAGCTGATGTATTGGAGGTGCTTTAGAAAATGAATGAGTTGGACAAAAGTTCTATTGTTGAGCCACTTGTCAAAATCCAACCTGTGTTAAATAATACTTTGCCAAATAATGCATGTTACTTAAAATAAAATCATGGATTTTGCTAGTATAGAGCTCAATTGAAGTTGTAATTGAGACAGTGTCTCCTGTTATTGCTGATGGGCGACTGAGTGTCACCCAGAGGTTCCTCACAGTGTTGATCTACATTGTTGATCAAGGTGGCAGGTGGCACACAGGACATACCGCTCAAGGCGCCATGGCAACAGAGACTGTGCCCGTGGTAACAACAAACAAAGAGAAACTGCAGCCTCTTGTTCCTGGTCAACGCAAATCAGCAGACCGAACCTCATCAGCACTGACTAAACACCCAAAGGCTGATGTTTTCTTTCCCGGAGAGATTTAGTTGGTTTCTAAACGTTGACTCTGAGTGTGTTTAATCTTCATTTGATTAAGGCTGAGAGGGAGTTTGGCTGAACAGTGAAGACTTTGTTTCCAATGTCTCCAGTACATTCAGTTGATTTCTTTTTTTATGTTAATCTTCTTCTTATCGTGTCCACAAGGCAGTCAGTTACAGTTTATGTTAATGATCACTATATTCAGTTATTTTCTCAATTGGATTTGGTGCATATTATTACACAGAAAATGATGAACGATTTGATCTTTTGAATCATTTTAATAAAGCAAAGACTTATGTATCTTGTACTCACATCCCTAAAGGTAGTACTACCATAATGTATACAAGTAATTAAAGGTACACAAGTATTTATTTTTCAAATATGCTTCAAGTACAAGAAGTAAAATACGCCTTATTGATTTTTGGGTCCAAATTATTTTTGCCTCATATGTTAGCATCATTTGCTGGTAAAGATGAAGCTAGCAAGTATAACAACTTTATATTTATGATGATAAACACGTATTAGTTTATTTCTTATATGCAAAGTAACTTTAATAGTTGATGTTAAATGTAATATTTAACCTGTTAAGCCCCAAGCCTGTTTTTAAGGTCTCAGGGTCGAAAATGACGTTTCCAGAACAAATGACCATAACTACACTTCTAAAAGGGGAAAATTAATAATCTTTTTTCTCAAAGTAATGATAAACCTGTGAGTTGGATGTAGAAAAGTCAAAATAAATACAGATGTTTTTTATTTTAAAGAAAATTTAGATTGAACATAGTAAAAAAATGTAAATTATAGTGTCCGTCCAAACATTATTTTTTACTTATAGTGAAAACCACCCTTGGATGATGGGTTAGTTGACTAAAAGCTTTAGGAATCCAAAGTACAACAGATAATAAGTACCCTGTATCAAGATTGATGCAAAACAAGTGACATTTGACCTTTTTAGAGAGTAGGTTAGAAAAAAAAAACCCACCTTTCTGGCTCATTTGGGGTGGAAATGGCGTTTTTGGCCGTTTCTCTGGAAACCAATTGGTCGATTTTTTGATGACTTGACATCTCTCTTTGAACCGTTAGAGCCATATAATCGAAGGGGGATTTCCGCATACACACACACGTTACCATTGAGAAGTGGGGGCTATGCGCACGGCAGTTGCCTACCAGGCGTAACTTATCTTACGCTCTGAAATCTGAAAACTGAAAACAGTTTTATTGCTATCGATTATCAGTAGGGGTGGTAAGGGATCCCGTATCGGAGAAAAGTCTGTCATTCAGGCAGTATCCCACTTGACCATCAGCCATTATAGGATAATATGGCCCATCTGAGTGTGTGTGGTATCAGGGGCAGGACTGGCCATTGGGAATACCGGGAGTTTTCCCGGTGGGCGCGGTGCTGTGCGTGGGCCGGAGGCACACAAATAAATAAATAAATAAATAATATATTAATTTTTTTGCCTAAATCCTACCGACCCACATTTGAAGTGTTCCGGCCAATCCCTTTCCTTCTTTTTTTTGGCTGCACATCCATGGGCTTGCACCCGTAGGATAGAAAAGGGGGAAATTATTACGTCTGGACTCAGAGGTTGTGCGTCTGTGGAGAGAACCTGTTGCCCACATTCTGTTACTGAAGTTAGGCTATTAGCTAGCAGGTTTAATTGTTTTGGTGCGGGGGGGGTGCAGTCACTTTTGCTCCACTTGCTGTTTCAAATAAATGTTGAAGAAAAAGTAAATCTGTTTACAGTTCTGTTTTCTATGGGTGGTGAGAGATGTATCCATAGAAGATTTAGTCCCGAATTTTTGCTCTCAAAAGTGAACCACATTGATGCATAACTTCAAACATTTAAAAAAAATCTTTCCTGGGGAGCATGCCCCCGGACGCTAGAGGGGGGAGGTGAGGTCCACCACTGCCCACATCCTCTGTTAAATTGTCCCACCCACATTGGAGGATGCTTCCTAACGCCCATGTTTTATTCCATGTGTCAAGTCAGGGTAATTTGGGTCAAATGTTATTGCATCAATGATCTGTTAACATTTAAAATTCACTAAATATATGCTGCAACTATTTTGCCTCTAAGGCAACTCAACGGGCTCAGGGTAATGTGATTACTAATATGATATAATTGGTCCAAAATAACATAAAATGCTAGTGTTTTTTGTTAAGTAACATACTTTTCGTCGCCGGCCGGTACCGATACATGCCGCACCATTAAAGTGGCCGCCTGTCTGTTCAATTATAATCCCTTGGCACTTTTTCTCCCCAGTCGCCCCTGGTGTGTACTGTTTGTTTTTCACTGTGTAATAAAGTTAATTATTCAAACATGTTAGGAGTTCCTTATTTTTAAAACTGAAACTTGCACTACCTGTTCAAAAATAAATAAAAACAAACCTGGAATTTTCTTGTTGGTACCGAACCCATACCCCGAACCGTGACCCCCAAAACCGAGGTACATACCGAACCGTGCATTCTGTGAACCGTTGCACCCCAATTATCAGACAATCATTTCAAGTGACACAGACACATTGGAATTTACCTATGGATTAACCTTCAGCAGCGTTTTTAACGTTGTAATGCAATTGAAGATCCCATATTTGCCGTGTTTGCTACCTAATGCCACATGCTGTGTGTCTGTTTTTTGTTTCTCTTTCGCGAGTTCTCTTCTCTGAGTGCACATGTCTTGTTCTCGAGTGAGAGGACAGGGCGGACTGGCCACTCTGTAGAATCTGGGAGAACCACAGATATGGCCGTCAAAGGCGCCGTTGATGCGGCCGGCTCTTTAAGAAAAATAGGGAGACAGCGCCGCTCAATGCAGTAGTGTGGTTCTCTATCTGTCATATAATCACCACACAAGAAGAAAAAAGACCGGCCACACGAAGTCCCAATCCCAAACCACGCTACTCCCCTACACACCTCTCCCCTCCGTGAAGGTGAACTCCGTGGAGTGAACACTCACGAGCCTCAACGAGGCTCCCTCCTGTCAGATGGAGGGAGTAAATACAGCGGCAAGCTTTGGGACAAACTCCCCTCTCTCCGACAGAAACAGGAAATGCCGTAACTGTATGTAACAACTGTTTAAGAATCAGCATCTCTTAGACAGACAAATTAAATGAATAACTAAATAAAAACTCCAACAATCATTAATTGTGTTACTTTTTGAAAAGACTCTTTTAGTTTTAAACCTGATGTTTAATAAGCCCCTTCCTAGTTGTTGCAACAGTCTGTAAATATACACAACTTTATAATAAAAGGCATAGTATGACTAACCGGTATGATATTAAGTAAAAAAATAACGAGGTTATATCATGAGGTTGTTAACATCGTTCGCAATTTATCAAGTGGATGTTTGCTGGAACTACTTGTTAACAGCTTGTTTCCTGACGGACACACACAGCGTTGACTCCGGGTCAGGTAGAGACCGGTCTCAAGTCAGCACCGATGGCAGACTCGCATGTTTCAGGGCTTGATAGCCACTCCCCCTCCCACACTGCTCCACACTCGTTGCTTTGAACAGCACTTAATGTGGCAGACCCTACCGCGCGAATGCGCAAACCGAGGGTAGTGTGGGTGTAGGGGGTGAGTTGGGATTGGGCCCAGGGAAGAGCAAGGGATATACGCCCGCGGGCATGACGACGGGTGGGGCCGAGAAGGGCAAGAGAAAAAAGGTGAAGTCACTCGCAGGTGAAGCATATAAATGTCGCAAATTGAGCAGACCTTTTTGGCAGGCAGCTTTAGAAGGGCAAGTGCAAGATGATGAAGAGAATGATGAAGCGACGCAAGTTCCAGATATACACCAGCCTCCTGCGTTCAATGAATGAGGGACAGAGTTGAGCTGACTGGAAGAACCCATGCTCAACTGGGCACACGTGCAGGGCAAGAGGTGGCGTGAGAGTTTATCCCTTGACTCAGTGGCGTTTTCTCCCCTGGAGGCGTCAAGGGAAGCCCCCAGGCTCTGAGTGAAACACGTCTCTGTTATGGTTTGGTGAAACAGTAGATTGCACTCTCTGTTGGCGAGAGGAGGGCTAGGCCGGAAATTGGCTTCCCCTTGGTGAAAAAAAATGGAGGGATTGACCAACAGATGAGAGCTGCACGTCATGCGTCACAATCGCATCAACTCAGTTCGTACTGTAACTGTCATGCACCCGCCCTTAAAAAGTAGCAAGCAACTGAATGCAAGTGCAATTATGGAAGGGTGGAGATTTGAGTATTTTCATCAAAAATAATTTTAGGCTAAAACCTTCAACTTACGGGCTAGCAGCAGCACTAAAAATAAAGTCTGATGACAGGCAAATGCCGCAAACTGGAGCCTGTGTACACGAGGGAAAAAAGGATCGAATCGGATGTAACTTTAAAATACATAAACAGGCGGATTTCCCTACACATTTTGACATTTCATGTGGCCGGAGGGTTTAGTTTCCGCCAGGGGCTGCATTTTGGGGCGCTCGCGCGCGCGGCCGCAATGGAGGCTGGAGCAACAGGAGCCTGTATTGCAGCGCTTTATCTCAACGACGTTGTTCCCTGCCATCCCCACCTCATACCTCAAAAAAGACCGCTCAGGGGTCAAATTGGAGACGGGTCGCGAGTCCGGGCGACCCTTGTCAATTAACTACAGGGGTCCCTCGGGCCTGTTTTGGTCCTCCCCTTCTCTTCGTAGCACAACTCGCTCGGATCTGTCATTAGCCGCAATGGATTATATCATACCTATCATAAGCATAACGCTAGACAGAGATCCCAAAAACACACACACGCTTAGAGCCAAAAAAACGAACGCCCGCATCTCGCCTGGCTTGCCTAGCAGACATCTCTCGGGTTGGATGTCTGCTCATACAGCCCTCAGCTCAACCTTGACAGATGAACCTGCTTTTCCTTCCGGAAAAGATTGTCGNTTTTTTCATGTCACACAGAACAATTTTAAGCAATGTATTTCTATTGGTAGTATGTTTCGTGCCTGTACCACGTCTTTTTGTCCAGTCGGGTCTTGGAAGACTGGTCTTCCAAGACCCGACTGGACAAAAAGACGTGGTACAGGCACGAAACATACTACCAATAGAAATACATTGCTTAAAATTGTTCTGTGTGACATGAAAAAAAGGGGAAAATCGTGTTGGTGAACACGAATCAATAGATTAAATGTGGTGAAATGCCGTGAGACTGGTTGGTCTACCAGTGGCAGTGTTGTGAAGCATTGAGCAGCAGCACTCCTGTCAGTGGCCCCTCCACTTAACTGTTGATATGTTAGCTAGCTTGTGAGCCAGCTGGTATCTCAGTTAATTAATTAACACCAGCAACACATTTGAGAGCACCACTACAAGTGAAGTGTGTTGTTCTTCTGCTATTGAACCTCCTCTAACTGTATGAGTTTAAAGTAGTTCCAGCTTAATACTATTTTTTTATTTGTTATCTAATGCTTCTTCCTACCAAAATAACGTTTGTGAAGTTTTCATGAAGCTGTAGCCTATTAATACATTTTGGCTACTAAATGAGCTGACAGAAAAACAACCACCACTAGGCAGCTAGCTAGCGAAGGTGTTGAGGATACAACGTGTTAACAAACAATTAGCTTTACAGCCTGATGAATTTAGGTGCAACATTCACGCTCCATTAAGCTCTAGTTGGTTGTTAGTATACAGTTCACCACCAGGGCTGTCTGAGATTAGCTGATACAATGGAGCATTGCGTTAGCTCAGGCAGAGCACATGGTCTGGCTAGCCGTTCACCATTAGCTACTCCATTCGCGCTCCCCCCTCTGTGGCTATTTAATAGCCGCCCACCCACAACTACTAGTTGGCTATCTGCTGAGACTTTCATTTTGGTCTATATCTTTGTCAGTATAACCTGACATCTCTAACTATTACTCTGATATCCTCAAGTCAACACAGCTACCATCACCTTGTGTTTAAGTTAAAACCTGCTCTTACTGTAGCTCTCTCCTCCTCACGGTACGTCCACACAGCAGCTTTAAAAAAATCTTCCAATGCTTCCAACGTTTCTCTGCCCATTGACTTTGAATGGGGATGACGTCACTTTGCCTCGCTTTTCGCCAAACTGCATTGTGGGGAAGCAAAACGAAGATTTCCAGGATTTTCAGGATTCAAAAGTTGAGCAATGTTCAACTTTTGAAGCTGAGCTGGAAGCGTCAGCCAATCAAATCCCGTTTATGCAAATCTGACAGTACAAGCGCTAGCCAATCAAACCGCGTGCAAGCTGGGAGAGCCAGACCGCAGTTCATTTCCTCATATTCCAAACGAGAAATTACAGTAGCAAATCACCCGGTTCTTTACGACCAGAACTATTTACCGGGATACAAACCGGAGGAACCAGGCATGGAGGGAGGTGGGTGAAACTGGTAGATTTTCGCCTGTTTGGGGAGTTTATATATATATATTGCTCTCATAAAATCCCCGGGGTTTTTTGCTTTGTATGTCGGGGGCGGGAGATTCATGTGATTGGTTGTTGGACGCGTTGCTCGCAAAAAATCCCCAAGCTCTCAGACACGCCCAGCTCCAAGATTTTCAAGATTTTTTCAAAGCTGCTGTGTGGACGTACCGTCATCGCCGCTCAGCTTCAAATCCCTCAAAGTAGATCGAACCTTCACAAAATTGCAATATTTAATACTTGCCCACTTTATATAAAGATATTTGGGCCAACATTTCACACGTCCTACTTGGTTCCCAAAATCTAAATGTATACTCATCAGTTGGGTAAAAGAGACCACTACTAACTATTTGACGAGCAGTAGTATGTGAAACTTGACGTTATTGTTAAAACTTCTCCTGATAATGTTGGTTCATTTTTTGATGTTTTAGAACACCATCAAAAGCCATAGTCCTTTTGGCTAGTGCAAATCAGAGTGAATGAAGTCATTGGTTTGTTTTATAATTCCCAAATTAAATTGAACCAAATTAAAAAGGGGGCTTTTTTAAAGAAGCAGCGCTGGAAATGTATTCACAGAACTATGTTTTACTTTACATTCAGAATTGGCCGTTGAATACAGACACGTAAATAAGCAAGTGCGGAGAAACACCAAGTTAGCAACATGGAGCACATGTGCCACCGATTTGGTAATATGGGTAGTTGTTATTCTTTAATATTCCCACCTAACACATTTGGAAAACGCTCCAAATATAAATACTTCTAGATTAGTCCTATCCCACTCATGTTAATCTGTTATTTACCTTTTATGCCGCGTTATGCAAATCCCTGTGCATGCCCGTGAGTCACACCGGTTACCTTTGTTCAGAGTAGAGTGTTACTACTTTTCTGCCCAAACAAGACGCAGTTTGATTAAAGAAGACTGTATCTTCGGCTAATGAAAGCACCCGGCCATGTTATTCTAAATATTCCCTCATTATATTGATAGACCCCGTTAGTCAGACAGCCTTATATCTCACAAAATGTATTTGCTGTGTCCATACTTAACAAACATAATCTCAATCTTCCATTTAAATCCATTGCTCACTCTTTGATTCTCTGGTAAGGAAGTGTAACCAATTAATAAATAACTGTTCATCAAGTTAATTATAACAAAATGCAGTTATATTTATAATTGAATTGCAACTTATATTTATAATAGTTGTTCAATGTTCAACACAGGCAATTTCAATGGAGGCATTCAATACATAATAATAGAATTGGCATTTTGTAGGCGGGATGTTAAATGGCATCCTTCGAGAGTCGCTTTCAGTTGAAAATGGGGCAGGCTTTAGCTTCGATGATACGATGGAACAAAAAACAATTATTATTGTGTCTTTAGACTGCTTCATTGAAGTTGACTGACCAACAGAGAACATTCTGTTTGTAGTCCAGTTCTATTAACACCCTATCACTGTGTTACTCTGCACTGACTCATTGACTGACTGGTTGATGAAGTGTATGGCAAACACACACACACACACACACACACACACACACACACACACACACACACACACACACACACACACACACACTTTCCCTCCATTGTCTGGATGCCAAGCTGATGTGTAACTCCCTTCTCTCAGCCTTCTATCACTGTAAATTTAGCAACAGAAGCTTCTCAGCTGCTCCTTTCCAAAACCTGAGCCCTCCTCTTCCATCCATAGTATTTCACCCATCTCTTTCTCCAGGGTCATGCCTACCCCTCTCAAAACCTGAGCCCTCCTCTCCCCATCCTTTCCACACAAAAACAAATACACTCACTCTCATCCCCCAGCCAATAAGGGCCTGGTGAGCTCAAGTATCACTATAACACAAGGACTTATTCTCTGAGCGGAGCCGATAGATTCTTACAGACCTTCATCTTCATCGTCCGAGGAGCTTCTCTCCCTCTCTGAGGTAAGATGTCCACTTACCTACCCTAACCTCAATGACTACTTAACCACATGTTTCCAACTATTTGTTTCTTCTTTAAAGTCGCATTTGCAAGCAGGAGGACAAAAGAGCCTGTGGAGGTGTAAGATAAATAACTCTTCAGGCCTAACCCCAGAAGGGAGGTTTGAAATAGACGTAGACATGTTCTGCTGCATGTCTAACATGTGTAGTTTATGTTTGGGATGGTTAACAGTTCCAAGAGCAGGAGTTTGGTTTCTTGAGACCAGATCAATTAACTCGTAAAATGTGTCATGAAAGTGTCACTTTATGTAATGCAAT